TATTTACTTAGCAATAAATAAAATGCAAAAAATTATGCATTTTATTTACTTAGCAATTTAAGAAGAGGAAGCTGGATTGTGGATACTGGGGCAAGCAGACATATATGCTCAGACATTGCTTTGGTTCATAAATCTTATCATGTTGGTCTACCTATTGTGGTCAATCTTCCAGATGGTACTAGAATTGAGGTCAATCAAGTGGGAGAGGTCAAACTGACAGGAGATATAGTGTTAAAAAATGTTTTGATAGCACCAGAGTTCAAATATAACCTATTGTCAGTTGGGCAATTGATAACTAATGGAGATTTGAAATTCCATTTTACAGAAAATGGATGCAGCCTACAGGATGTGAAGAATCAGACAGTCATTGCAAAGGGCAAAGCACTTGGAGGATTGTATATCTTGGAAAAACAGCTTCATTACGCAAACATGACAAATGAAGGGTCACAAAACTTGAACCAGTTGGAATTATGACATAGAAGGCTAGGCCACAGTTCAATCTCTTGTATGCAACACATTGGTTTTCTCAAGGAAGATTGTACCAGAAAACACTCTAAGATTTGTGACATCTGTCACAAGGCAAAACAATGTCGGAGGCCTTTTCCCTTAAGCAGCATCAAAAGCAAAGCAAAATTTGAACTAATCCATGTTGATGTATGGGGGCCATACCATGAACCATCTATAACAAATACCCAGTACATGCTGAAAATTGTGGATGACTTCACCAGGGCAACCTGGGTCTTTCTCATGAAATACAAAACAGAAACAAGCAGCCACATTAAATTCTTCTTGAAGATGGTTGAAGTGCAATTTGGTTTGAAGGTCAAGACACTAAGATCAGATAATGGTACTGAGTTCATGAGCAAGGAGACACAACTTATTTTGAAGGAAAATGGAATCATGCATAACAGATCCTGTCCATACACACCACATCAAAATGGTGTGGTGGAAAGGAAGCACAGATTTATACTTGCAGTGGTAAGGTCTTTATTATTTTAGGCAAACTTGCAGAAGGATCTATGGCCTTATAGCTTGATGACTACAGTTCACATAATCAACCTACTTCCTGCAGAGAATCTTGGTTGGGTATCACCTTTTCAACTGCTCCATGACAAGAGTCTAAACTACAATGATCTTAGTGTATTTGGAAGACTATGCTTTGCAGCAAAGGTGGAACCACATAAAATGAAGTTTGACTCTATAGCACAACCTTGTGCCTTCTTGGGCTATGTAAATGGAATGGAAGGTTACATAATGTATGGGTTAGAATCAAAGGAGGTCTTTGTGTCAAGGGATGTTGTGTTCTATGAAGATAAGTTCCCTTTCCAAACTGAGTTACAACAGCAAGTTGATCTTCCTTTGCAAATGAACATTGATCCTATGCAAATTGTGGATGAACAATCAGTGGATGTTCATACTGAAGTTGAAGAAACTGATGAGGTAGCTCTTGACACCAGGAAAGCGGAAGACAGAGGAAGCGTCCTAGTTGGCTAAGTGACTATGTAGTCAACACAGCCACTGATCAGAAATATTTGGAGAACTCAAAGGCTTTTATGGCAGAAGTGAACAATGTACCTTGTGAGCCACTCTTCTATGAGCATGCAATTAAGGATGAAAGATGGATTGAGGCAATTAATAAGGAACTGAAGGCCCTAGACTGAACAAAACATGGATTTTAACTCCATTACCTTCTGGAAAGAGAGCAATTGGCTCAAAATGGGTGTACAAGATTAAAAAAAACCCAGATGGGACTGTGGATAAGTACAAAGCAAGGTTAGTTGCCAAAGGTTATCTTCAAAAGGAAGGAGTGGATTTCATGGATAGTTTTTCTCATATGGCCAAACTAGTCTCAGTCAAACTTTTGATTGTTTTAGCAACACAACATAACTGGTCTCTACATCACATAAATATTAACAATGCCTTTTTACATGGCTTTCTTGAAGAAGAGGTTTACATGCTCCCACCAAAAGGTTATAATAAAGCTAAAAAGGGAGAGGTCTGCTTGCTGAAAAGAAGTCTATATGGGCTAAAGAAGGCTTCTAGACAGTGGAATATAGAATTTTCTGAGAAATTACTTGCATATGAATTTGCTCAGTCTGTCTATGACCATTGCTTGTTTATTAAAAGGAATGGAGATCAGTTTTTGGCTCTTTTAATCTATGTTGATGATGTCTTGATTGCTGGGACTTTGTATTCTGATATTGTTCACCTCAAGGCTTACCTTGACAGACAGTTCATATAAAGGACCTTGGGGAGGCAAAATATTTTCTGGGGCTTGAGATTTTAAGATCTAAAGAAGGTACACACCTCAACTAGAAGAAATACATCATGGACATCATTAGTGATCTTGGCTTGCAGGATTCTAAGAGTACAACTACACCTTTTCCTCAGGGTTTAAATCTCTCTTCTCAGAACTCTTTCCCTATGATTGATTCTGGCTTATTCAGAAGGCTTGTAGGGCGGCTATTGTACTTAAATTTGTCCAGACCTGATATCTCCTTTGCCACACAACAGCTGAGCCCATTTGTACACTTTCCTACTGAAGCACATTGGTCAGCTGCCATGCATTTGTTGAAATATCTCAAAGGTACTCCTACTTTGGGACTTTTTTACACTTCTGTTCCTAATTTCTCACTCGAAGCTTTCTGCGATGCGGATTGGGGCATATGCACACTCACTAGGAGATCTCTCACCGGCTACTATATCTTTCATGGTCAATCCTTGGTCTCTTGGAAAACAAAGAAACAGAAAACCGTCTCTCATTCCTCGCCTGAGGCAGAATATATGGCCATGGCAAGCACGGTTTGTGAGCTGCAGTGGATGCTTTACTTAGCAGGTGATCTTGGTATTTCTCTACCTTTGCCTGTCTCTTTGTGGTGTGACAATCGCGCCGCACTTCACATCACAGCGAACCATGTGTTCCATGAACGCACCAAGCACCTCGACATCGACTGCCATGTTGTTCTGAACAAGTTTAAAGAGGGACAGATTTCTCCCATGCACGTGACCTCCACTTCCCAGCCGGCCGATGTTTTCACTAAAGCGCTTGGGGGCCGTGATTTTCAGCGCTTTCTCTGCAAGTTAGGAATGTGTGAACCTCCCCACATTCCTACTTGAG